ATTTAAATCTAAATTTGATTTTCAAAATTTTTTAAAATAATTGTATTTAAATTAAATTTATTTACATAAAAACTGTTGATTAAGTTAAAGAATTCAACTTTTTAATAAAAATAAAAATATAAGTAAATAAAAATAAAGTTTATTCAATTGAATTTGAATGCAATTTTCTACATAAAGGTTCTTTTACAATAAACATTTTTTTAAAATGAAAATTAAAAAGTTAAAAAAAACATTTTTTATGCTATTAAATGCATAACATTTGTTTATTTCTTTGAATTTTAATGAAATCTTCTACATAAAGGTTCTTTTACAATAAACATTTTTTTAAAAAGAAAATTAAAAAGTTAAAAAAAAATTTTGTAATGCTATTGAATGTATAACATTTGTTCATTTCTTTGAATTTTAATGAAATTTTCTACATAAAGGTACTTTTACAATAAATATTTTGTTAAATATTAAAATTTTCTATACCATTTTATTTATTTATACATTCCCTGAGGGGGGAGAGGGTCCAAAAAGTATGATAAATTGAGTTTATAGACGACCACTAATTGAAAAGTTAAAAAAAAAAATGTTAATGCTTTTAAATGTAATGAATTTTTTATTTATTTGAATTTTAATGCAATTTCTAAACTGGAAAAGGTTCCTTTACAATAAACGTTTTTAAAAAATTTAAAAATTAAAAAAAAACAAATTCTATGTTACTGAAAATTACTTTTATTTATCTGAATGTTTTACAATAAAGGAAATAAAAAAAATTTCTCCATTATTAATATTTGAAAAAAAATTCTTCTTTTTTAAATTTTCATATCACAATTTTTGTAAGGATATCAAATTTTCAGACAAAAAAAGTATCGAAACGTTGCTTCACGATACTTTTGACACGTTTTTATTTTGCCTCAATTTAATATCCTTATAGATGAACTATGTGTGCTGTTTTTTTAAAGTTGATTTTTAAAAAGAAATTTATAACCTTCTTTATAAAAAAAATTTTTTTTTTTTTAATTTAAAAATTTTCAAAAAATGAAAAATGACATTTTTAGAAAAACTGTGGAAATATAAACCGTTTGAAATTTCAAATTTCTACAAAATTTTTTGGTGCTTTTACAAGTTGACTTTTAAAAAAAATGTATAAACTTTAAAAAAAAAAAAAAAAAAAAAAAAAATTTTAAATGTTTTAAAATACTTTAAAATTGCCTATACATGCGTGGTAATAAATAGTTTAGGTTAATTTCTAAATAAAACCCCAAAGACGATAAAATAATGCGGAAAAAAATTTTTCAAAAAAATGGTTCAATTTTTTTTTTGTTTTTAAAGAAAATGAACGAATTTAAAGAAAGAGTGGGAGAGGGTGGGGGAGTAATTAATGCTTTCATTGATGTATTGGAAGTAGTATATATGTATAGTAAACGTGCGGTAAACGTGGAAAAGGTCAATGTCCCATTTCGACCTTAACTCCACCAGAATGGCGTGCACTTGTTTGCTCAAGAAAGTCTTCAATTCGCTAACCTACATAATGTTTATCCATCATGGCGCGTGAGTCTCAATTGTGATACGGCTATCGCCTTTTATAATTCGCGTTACGTTCAATAAATCCTCATTTTCTTATGTATTTTTCCATTATTGTTGATGCAAAATTCTATATATTATTATATTAAAAAAATATGAATATCACTATAAAGGAAAAAAAAGAAAAAAAAGAAAAAAAATAAAAAAAAATAAATAAAGAATAAATAAAAAAAATGAAGGTTAGGAAAACCGAAGCAAAAATTTTCTACCAAAAATCCCTCCCCTCCTCTTTTTCTTAGTTTGAAGCAAAATATATATCGCAATATTACGTTTGTTTTGTAACTCTCTATGGAAGCCATATCGTTCATGAATGTTCTCAATGTCAAGGATGACCCCAAAGGTGAATGTCTTGCTCGGGATGCCACACCAACCGTGAAGGGTATTGCTCGTTTTTAATTATGATTTTTATTTTGTCCTCTATTTCAAAATTATTTTATTATTTTCAAAATAATATTAAAAAAAAAAAATTATTAATTTTTAAAATTTTTATTAATTTTTTTTCTTATATAGATTTTATAAAAAAATTTCTATTTCTATTGTTTGCAATCAGAATTTTTTTGTTTGTTAAGAATTAGAAACTTTACAATTTTTGAATATGGAAAGAAAAATTGTTCTTCGAATTAGAAATTATTTTTAATTTGAAATTTTTCGTTACAACTGGAAGTGGGAGAATTTTTTTTTTTTATTTCGAATAAGAAATTTTCATTTTTTAGAAATAGAAATTATTTTGTTCGAATCTTTAAGATTTTTAGAATTAGGATTTTTTTTATTAAAATAAAATTTTTTTTAAAATTAATTTTTTCTTAAAATTAGAATTTAGAATATTTTCTTTTGGAAAAATAGGGGAATTAGAAATTTTTATTTCAAAGTAGAAGAAATAAAGGAATTTTTAGAATTTATTTTATTTTATTTCGAATTAGAAGTTTTTTTTCATTCAGAATTTATACCTAAAAAATTTTATTTCAAACTAGAAGTTTTTTTTAATTTAGAATTTATACCTAAAAAATTCTATTTCGAAGAATGAGAGAAGAAATGAGAAAAGAAGAAGAAATGAGAAAAAAAAGGAATTTTGAAAAACTTTTATTTCAAATGAGTAGTTTTTTTGAATTCATAAGTTTTTCCTAAAATAATTGAAATTTGAGAATTTTTTTTTCAAGCTGAATAAAAAATTTCTAATTTTAAAATAAAATTTTTTTTAATTTAAAATAAAAATTTTTTTAATTTAAAAAAAGAAATTAGAAAAATTCTTGTTAATCAGAAGTTATTTTAAATTTTAGGATTTTTCACAACGAATTGGAATTTGGAGAATTTTTTTTTTTACTTTCAATCAAAAACTATTAGATATCAAAAGTACATAATCGACGAAAAAAAAATGATTTAAATTAGAAATTTTCATATTTTAGAAGAAAAAATGGAATTAGAAGTTTTTATTTTGAAATGAAAATGGTTAAATTTATAGGATTTTTCACTAAAATGGAATTGAAATGGAATTGTCGAATTTTTTATATTTATAGAATTAGAAATCTTTTATTTTTAATTTGTTTATTTAAAAAAAGATGAAATAAAGGAATTAAAAATTTTTATTTCCAATGAAAAGTTTTGTTTAAAAAATTTAGAATTTTTTCACTAAAAATATTAGAATTCTAGAATTGTTTTTTTTTAAATCTAATTCGTAAATTTGTATTTTTCTATTCAAAAATTTCTCATTTCGAAGTCGGAAGTTTTTATTTTAAAATAAAATTTTTTTGAAACTATTAATAATTGTTAATATTATTATTTGAAATTATTTTTTTGAAATTACCTTCGATGGTGAATTTATTATTTCAAAATAGAATTTTACAGTAAAAGTTATTTCAAATATATATATAGATTATAATTTTTTTTCAATTTAATATTTTTTAGAAAAATGAATAAAAATTTATTTTTTGAAGTGTTTACTTCGAATTCGAATTTATTATTTTAAGAAAAAATTCCTTTTTTTTTAAATTCGTACGTCAGTTCGAAAAATTTGGAAGTTTCTATTCGAAAATTCAAATAGATATTTTAGCAATTATTTGAAATCTACAATTTATTTTTATTCTGGTGTTTCATTTCCGAATTGAAATTAGAATTAGAATTAGAATTAGAAATAGAATTAGAAACTTCCAATAATTTCTAATTCAACATAAAAAAACTCAAGTTTACAAATGGAAATTTAATTCAATAATTTATTTAAAATTTAAGTGTCATATTGGAAAATTTAATTTAATTTAATTTACTATTTCGAATTCGAATTATTGCATAATAGGAAAATAATTAAAATTCGAGAATTAATATTTACTATTCGTAATTTAATTTTTAATTATCGAAAAATAATTTTTGCTATTCAGGAATTCTTTATTATTTTCTTAAATAATTAATTTAAGTAATTATGAATAATTAATTAGGAATTATTTACTATAATAATCGAGAATTAATTACATTATAAACTGAATTGAATTTAATATTTAATTCAAGATGAAGAATTAAAAGATTTTAAAAAAATAGAAAATAGTATTAAATTTTCGTAAGAATTAGAAATTTTTAAAAATTCCGGACAAAAAAAAATTCAAAAAAAAAATAAAATATACAAAATTATTTACATTTTAATCGAGTTCCATTGAATTAAATTGATTTGAATTTAAATTAAATTCAAAATAAATTCAAAATAAGGAATCAAAAGTTAATAATTTCGATTTTATTGAATTAGAAGTTGAATTAATTATTATGTGAATAAAAACATTGGTCAAATTTTATATTTATTTATATTTTTTTATATTTATTTATATTTATTTATATTTATTCATATTCATATTTATTTATATTTATATTAATCATAAAATTTTGCATTTGCAATTAGAAATCTGAATTAAAATTCGCAACTGGGATTCGCATTGTGGAAGTAGAATTAGAATTTTCGATTGGAATTAAAAGCGTTCGAAACTAATTCGGAAAAATGTTGCGCTTGAACTTCGAATTCGAATTAGAATGATTTGATACCCGTTCTTTAAGGTCGTTTTTCCCGTTCAATTGCAAGCGAAAATGAACCTAAAAACCAAATAAATTACTTGTCAAGAAATATTTACCATCTCAAGTATGAAAATAAGTATAAATTCCAATTTTGTGGAATAAAATAAAAAAGTTTTTTCAAAGTAAATTCCAATCACAGTTTTTCGTAGGATATCAAATTGAGACAAGAAAATCATCAAAAACGAAGTGCTGCGAGGCAACACTCTTGATTCGTTTTTTTTTTTGTCTCAATTTGATATCCATCGAAAAACTGTGACTGAAAACTGATTGAAAACTCTGATTGAAAACTTTGGAAAAAACTTTTTTTCAAAATTAAATTCCAACAGTGGAATGATAAAAAAATTTGTTTCCCCCAATAGTAGAGTTTTGAACCAATAACTCACCTTTCAATGTCTTCCGATAGTGGATTTTGAAAAAAAATATCAAAAGCTCATCATCATCTTCTTGTCTTGATTTTTTTTTTAGGAAAAGCAAATCCTGCTGGAGGTTTTGTTTCCACTTAGCATCACTGGTTCAACAACTGCAACATCCGGCTCGTGAGTATCCAAGTATATCCAACAGGTTTTCATCCGTGGAAACTTAACAATAATCTCGTGATGAAAAACACAAAAAAAAATAATCCAGAGTTATTTTTCACCAAAGAAAAAAAAAAAAATCACTTTTCTTCAATTCGGAAGGTTTTTCACAAGAGTTGTTTATTTTAGGAGCACTTGGAGAACACAGTTGTGTATTATAATTTTTGTTTTGGAAACACTTTGAAGAAGATAAACAACAAGTGTCTTCTTTTAGACAGTTGTTTTTTCGGAACACTGATTTTTGATAATCCTAATCACATTCGATGATGGGTGGGTTGAGAGTAATAATAAGGTAAAGGAAGGTATCAACATTTGGAGAAATGTTGAGTATGTTTAATAAATATTTGTTGAAGAACCTCAAACATCTTTACTATTTTTATCAAGTTGTGAATATTTGTTGATATTTGTGAATATTCATTAATATTTGTTGATGTTTGTGAATATTTGTTGATATTTGTGAATATTTATGAATATTTGTGAATATTTATGAATATTTGTTGAAATTTATGAATATTTGTTGATATTTGTGGATAATTTATGAATTTTGGAGGTAAGTGATGAAAATGGTGGTTCTTTAATGGAACGGTTGTTTTCGTACGGCCGCGTGGTTGGAACTGATGTTCGAAAGACGAGTATACCTATAGGCAGGGGCACACGAGCAGCAAGAGCAACAGCAGCAGCAGCAGCAGGTATAGGCAGAGGCGATGCCAAGGTAGGCAGAGGCGGTTGTATCATGGGGTATGGGCGATAGCAATGGCTTCTCTCTTTCTCTTTCTCTCTTTTCTCCTCTTTCTTCTTCGTCTTGTTCGTTCCAGCAGTTTAGCTCACTCTTGTGCTGTTGCTGTTTGGTTTGTGGCTGCTTTGCTAGGCGCTGCTGCTGGAACCGAGAAGGTTCAACATTCTCCATCGAGTTAACCAACGGGACTTTGGGGATCTTCCCTCTCACTCGGGACTCGCTGGTTACTGACCTCCGAAAATACGTGCCTGGGTCCTTCGCTTTTACCAGAAGGGAGAGGAAATGGTCTCCCCCTCTTGGAATGAATACCTGTTTGTATAATGTCTAGATGATGATAAAGATGATGATGATGATGATGATGGTAATGATGGTGATGATGAAAAAGATGAAGAAGAAAACGAAAGAGAAGACGAAAGAGATGAAGAAGAACCAGAAGAAGAAAGAAAAGAAGAAAAAGAAGAAGAAGACGAAAGAGCTTATGATACCCATACGGGGTGTCCCAAGAGTCACTGACCCATTCGGACAGGAGAGGGGGACGATGATGGGAGAATGAAATCATCGAGATTTCAGGATGGGAGATTATTACGTGCAAGTGTTGCATTCCTCCGGATTATTATGTCCTTTGATTAGCAGGAACTCATCTCATATGCTATTGCCCTCGGGAAAATTATACGATTCATTTTATTTATTATTTCTATACTCCTGATCTGAAAATTAGTTTTTCCATAATGTTTGCAAGAAAAGATGGGACATTCGTTTTTTAACAGTTTTTTATGACATAATTTTTTGGATTCCTCAATGTTTTTCTAAAGAATATCAAATTGAGACTAAAACATTACTTCGCAACACTTTTCATTACGTTTTTTGTCGCAAAAGTGTTGCAAAGTAATGTTTTGTGCGATTCATGTGATTGTTACATCTTCAATGATTCTTTTTCGACCACTTATTGTCTAATTGAATAAATTGAACTGGTATTTTCTGAGGAAAAGTATCAAATAAATATATTCAGAAAGGGCATTGATTGAAGAATTGAAAATCTTTTTATATTTGTTATAAATCATTTTGAAATTGGTGCAGGGTTGCCACAATTATTTATATTAAATTTTAATGCTAAATTTTTCTTCTTATTTTTTCAAAATTTTATTTTGCGGTTTTAACGAAAAAAATAATTATAACTTTAAAATTAAATTTACAAAATTAAGTTCGTGCTGATAACGAGGTTGCTATATTCTTGAAGAACAAGAACTATTATCATAAAATTATTACTCAGAAATTATATAATAATTTTACTTAAATATTTCAAAATTAATTGAATTTTAATAAAGTTGCGTTTACAATTTTCATAAATATATATAGATGAACATCTAAAGGTTTGAAACTTTATAATATTTTAATTTTCAATGAGTTCAATTAAAAATTTTAAAAAACTTTGGTTTTTTGAAAAATTTTAATAATTCAAAATTTCAAATTCTTCTGAAATCAGTTAATTTTTTGAAAATATATTGAATTAATTATTAAAAATAATGGATTTATAGAAGAATTTTGATTAAAAACACTAAAAAAAAATTGATTTTTGGAGAAGTTAGAATTTATTGCAAAAATTCAATTTATTATTTTCGAAAGTAATAAAATTCTTCGCTAAAATTCAATTATGCTCAAAAAAATTGTCGTTAAATTTTGAAAAATTTGAATAATTCAATCTCTTCTAAAATTAGTTACATTTTTCAATATATATATATATATATTTAACTAATTAATCAAAAAAATATTTGATTTATAGAAGAATTTTAGTCATCAGAAACTGTAAAAAAGAATTATAGATAATTTTAAAGATAAGTTACAAATGCGATTGGCAGAAATTCAATTATTTTCAAAAGGAATAAAATTCTTTGCAAACATTCAATTATTTTCAAATTTTTTTTTTTTAATTCTCAAAATTTCAATTATTTTTATTAATAATAAACTTCTTCTTCGAAAATTCAATTATTTTCAAAAATTTTAATCAAATTCTTGGCAAAATTTCAATTATTTTCATAAATTTACCTCCAGTTGAATGATTTTTTCAAAATATCTGTATATTTTAATAAAAATTTTCCAAAAGAATTCAATTATTTAGAAAATTTTTTGATAAAATTCTTCGCAAACATTCAATTATTTTTAAAAACAATAAAAGTTTCATAGGAATTCAATCCACCATTTTTTTTCCTTTCCTTGCAATAATTAAATATTTTCTTAAGAATAATACAATTTTTTATAGGGTTTCAATTATTTTCATAAATAATAAAAATTTCAAGGGAATTTAATTATTGACAAATTTGTTTTATAAATATATTCGCAAAAAATCCAATATTTTCATAAATAATAAAATTTTGTACAAAGATTCAAATATTTTCATAAATAATAAAATTTTTTACGCAGATTCAATTATTTTCATAAATATAATAAAACTCATCGCAGAATTTCAATTATTCTTTCTTAATAATTAGTCGGGGATTTTTATTAAAAGTAAATGGAAAAAAATTAAATTTTTAGAATTCATAAAAAAATAAAAAATAAAATAAATAAATAAATAAAATTAAAAAAATAAAAAAAAATAATAAATAAATTCAATTATTTATAAATTTTTTATAAATTCTTTATCCATATTTCAATTATATTTTCAAAAATAATAAAATTTTATTTAAAAATTCAATTATTTGCGCATAAATAATAAAAATATTTTTAGAAATTCAATTATTTTCGCATAAATATAAATAATAAAGTTCATCGCAGAATTTCAATTATTTTTGAAACAATTTCAATCGAATTCCTCGAAAAATGTAATTATTCTTAAAAATTTGATTAAAATTCGTCGAAAGAATTCAGTTATTTGAAAATTTGTTGATAACGATTTTTTATAAGAATTCAATTGAAATAATTGAATTCTCGTAGAAGTTTCTATTAAAAATTGTTTTAAAAATGAATTTAAATTAAAATTTTAGATAATAATTGAATATGAAAAGCATAATTATATATAAAATGGATTTTTTTAGAAATAATTTAATTTGAAATAGGTTTTAAATTAAATTTTTGAAAATCATAATTTTTCACACTTTAACTATATAACAATTGTGTTTGTGTAGAATTACTTTTTTTGTAAAAGTTTAATTATAAATTTTTTTTTATTTTCTAATATACATCTAATTGGAGAATTTCCAAATAATCAAAATTTGGCAAAAGTTATATAAATTGTAAAGAAAATAGATTTGAAAATTATTCTCAAAAAGAACTTTTTCAAAAATTATTAAAAATAATTGATAATTGATTTAAAGAAAAGTTTTAGTTAAAAATTCCAGATTCCTTTACAATTATTTTTCTTAATTTTAAAATAGTTTTAGATAAATATTTTAGTAAATATAGTTGTATTTATTTACAAATAATCTTATTTGAGAATGTAATTATTCTTTGTACATAATCAGGAGTTAACAATTCTTTGAAAAAAAAATCAACCTTTAGCGGGCATCGAACTTTTATGCCTTCTTATCAGAAATCAACGACTTTATCCACTAGGCCATTTAATCATAAAACTACAGTTTTCAATAAAACTTCAGTTTTTGCAAAAATTTTCTATTTTTTTATCAATTTTGGACCAATTTTGTAATAATTCAATGAAATTCACTAACCAAAATTCTTTTCTGCTTTTTATCTTGATTAAAGTGATCTTTTCAATTGTCAAGGAGGCAAATTATTAAAAAAAAATTTAGATAAAAGCGAGGCCATTAATTCAATTAACGAACTCAATTCAACGCTTCTAATTCATTTCTTTCATTCATCTAATTCATCTATAATTTACTTCTATAATAGCCACTTTAAAATAATATACCTTCACTGATGATTTTTAATTTTTTACAAGGACAAGTTTTATATCTTATATATTTTTTTGAAAAAAAAAAATCAAATTTCTTAATTTGAATCGCTTTTTTTTCTTTTTCTTAAAAGATATTCGGTATACTGAATTTTGAAATGGAATTTACATTTGAATATTTAGTATATTTATACATATCTGCTATATATTGAGAATGTTGAGCAACACGATAGTTGAAGGTCTCTCTTTCTCTGAACGAAATTAGAAAATAAAAATTAAAAAAGGAATAGTCAGATGATTGTGACCTTGAAGACCGGCTTCTAAAGAACTCTCGGGATCAAGATGGCGCGATAACGATCGCAAAGTCATGGCGAGATTAGGGCTCGCTTCTTATTCCCTCCGCGACTTCCTTACCCTCTTTTATATACATGTTCCTTCACTCCGAGAGTTCCTTTCCCTTTCCTCTGAATTTTATTACGTATACATATATATGTATATATACATAGAATATATCTATATTTTTTATTATACATTTTATTTATTTTATTTTATAATTATTTACATATATTTTATAATGTAAATTTTATTTCTCTTAAATACGTAATATAATCACTGTAAGTGAATCGTTTTCAGATCACTTAAATATTCTCATCACAGAATCAGGAAAAACATGTCATTTAATGCACTTTTTTGTATATATATTCTCCACCTTTTATTTTTAAATTTCTATTTTATTTTATTTTATTTTATTTTGTTTTATTTTATCTCTATGCCAAATAGCTTATAATGCAAAGCGAATTAATTTAATCATTTTAATAATTTCTTATTTATTTATTTTCAATTTTATTTCAATTTAAAAAAAATAAATTTCCGAACATTTAAAATGTTACATATAAAATATTGATCGTCCAAAACCGAAAGGTATGAACTATGAATAAATAAAAAAAAAATATAAAATATTGAAAACTTACTCTAATTTCATTTTTAGACAAATTATTATCAATAATTTTAATCTTAATTTTTTATAGATTCATTTGCAATATATTTTCTTTTGACAACTTTTTTCAACTTTTAAAAGAATTTCTCTCTTTGCATACTTCGCACTCATCTACTAAAACCTACTATTTAATTAATTATTTTCAAAAAATATTCGTAATTCAATTATTTTCAATATCTAGTACTTTCATAAAATTTCGCACAAGAATTCAATTATTTAAAAAAAAAATTCATAAAATTCATAAAATTCATTCAAAATTCAATTATTTTCATAAATAATAAAATTTCCACAAGAATTCAATTAATTTAGAATAGCATTTTCAAAAAAAATTTCGAAAAAATCAATTATTTAACAACATTTTTATACAATTCTTCACATAATAATTCAATTACTTTCAGTGGAAATTACTTTTTTCATGGAAATTCAATTTCTTTACAAAAATTTT